GGCGCGATCTTGGCTCACTGCAACTTCCGCCTCCTGGGTTCACGCCGTTCTCCTGTCTGAGCCTCCGGAGTAGCTGGGATTACAGGCGCCTGCCACCATGCCCGGCTAACTTTTTTTTTTTTTTTTGTATTTTTAGTAGAGATGGGGTTTTACCATATTGGCCAGCCTGGTCTTAAATTCCTGACCTCGTGGTCTGCCCACCTGGGCCTCCCAAAATGCTGGGATTACAGGCTTGAGCCACTGCCCGGGATGTGTGTGTGTTTTTTTGAGACAGAGTCTCGCTCTGTCACCCAGATTGGAGGGCAGTGGCGTGATCTTGGCTCACCGCAACCTCTACGTCCTAGATTCAAGTGATTCTCCTGCCTCAGCCTCCTGAGTGGCTGAGACTGTAGGCGCGTGCCACCACGCCCGGCTGATTTTTGTGTTTTTAGTAGAGATGAGGTTTCACCATGTTGGCCAGGCTGGTCTCGAACTCCCGACCTCAGGTGATCCTCCCACCTCGGCCTCCCAAAGTGCTGGGATTACAGGCGTGAGCCACCACACCCGGCCTGAAGTTTTTGAAAGGTCTCTCCCAAACACTGGGACCTTTTGTGGCCGCATGCGTCTCTCCCTCGCAGCCCTGGTGTTCCTATGTGGGCTCTGTCGTGCACCTGCCGGAGAACCCTCCAGAATCCAGGACCAGTCCCTCCCTCAGGAGGCCATGGGGAGAGTGGGCATCCTGGATGGACCCAGCGCCCATGCGGGGGGGCTCGGTCGGGCCGGGGCAGGGGCACAGGCTCAGGCCATGTTTGTGTGTGTTTCGTCCTCACTGGCTGGGAGCGCTGGGCCGCCCCGCCCAGGGAAGGGCTTCTCGTTTCTGCCTTGCTGTGGAGGGCTCACCTGGTTTCAGGACAGGACTCAGACTTCCGCCCTCCGGTCTGTTTTGGAAGTCATCTTCTCCCGGAGCCTCTGTGGAGGAGGAAGCACGTGGTGTGAGATAACTCCCGTTAGGGCTTCACCGTAGAGGGCAGGTTTTTAAAATCGTGAATACTCCATGGGCGGGAGCGCTGTGTTCGTTTTTCTCTCATGCAGAAACAAGCCCACGTGTGTGTTCAACTGGAAACTAGGGCATACATGCTGTTCCTCTCGAACCTGAGCGGTCTCAGGAGTTGAATGGGCCGGGGTACCCACCCCCATCCCATTCCATTCCAGCCCAGGGACAGAGCACTTGGAGACCCCCAGGTGACGGCCTTCCCTGAGTTTGTTTTTGTTCATTTTGGGGTTTTATTTTTTGAGACAGGGTCTTGCCCTGTCATCCAGGCAAGAGTGCAGTGGTGCAGTCAGCTCGCTGCAGCCTCAAATTCCCGGGCTCAAGAGACCCTCCTGCATCAGCCTCCCAAGTATAGCTGAGACCACAGGCAGGTGCTACGGGTCTAGCTAGAACATGCTTGTTTTAATTTGAGATCGCTGTCATAAATGGGTTGTGTGATCCAAGGCCCTGGATCGTGCTGAATCACACCCTCAAATTCACACATCCCCATCAGAAACTCAGGTCAGGGATGAAGTCCGCACAGTGGCTAAAGCTCCAGGAGGGTCTGGCCTCTGAGCAGGTGCTTTTGTTTTTCTTGCTCTGTCATGCAGGCTGGAGTGCAATGGCACAATCTCGCCTCACTGGAACCTCTGCCTTCCAGGTTCGAGCAGTTCTTCCTCCACAGCCTCCAGAGTAGCTGGGACTACAGGTGTGTGCCACCACGCCCGGTTAATTTTTGTATTTTTAGTAGAGATGGGGTTTTGCATGTTGGCCAGGCTGGTCTTGAATTCCTGACCTCAGGTGATCCACCCACCTCAGCCTCCCAAGATGCTGGGATTATAGGCGTGAGCCACCGTGCCCGCCCAGGATTGATTGATTGATTGATTGATTTTTTTTCTTTTTTTTTTTTGAGACAGAGTCTTTCTCTGT